GTCACAGCAGGAGTCAACTGACACATATGTTTTGTCAGGCCCCAAATAAGGTACTCTATTTAATCATCATCCTGTTGAGGTTTACTTAGTTAGTCAGTCAGTAGCCTGCCCCTGGCAGAGCCTTGCTCCCATAACCCTCCTGAAAACTTCTCAATCACAAGCAAGATGCCCTGCGTCCGATACCCCCATCTGGAGATCATCTGCCACATCCTGTACCTATCTTCTCTTTGGCCAACTTCTTCCTCTCTTCCTAGGCATATACCCCTCCATTATTGTTCTCTCTAAACTTCCATGAGTTTATTTATTACACCCTTTTCTTTTTCTTTATGCTTCCTCTCTTCCTAGGCATATACCCCTCCATTATTGTTCTCTCTAAACTTCCATGAGTTTATTTATTACACCCTTTTCTTTTTCTTTATATATTTCCACACACAAAATTTTAAAAAGCGACCTGCTGTGTGGTCACACCGAGCACGGCAGCCAGCAGTGCTGGAGGCAGCCAGTTCTCCTTGCAGGGTGAAACGTGAAAACTAGTAACCTTCTGCAGTCCCACAAGTCAACCCTACCTTCCTAACTGCATCAGAGCTTTTTTCTGCGCTATTTTTTTTTTTCAGGAAACTCTTTTGTGCCAGTGTAATAGCACTTCATGGTGAGCACTTGCACCTCACCGGCAAAGTGGTCAAGCTGCTTGTCTAGCGCTCTGAAAGTTGTAGGATCTCTCACCGGCTGCGCCCTTTAGTTCACTGGTGCCATTTTTACAGAGATCCCTGGAGATCGTTGCCAGAGCTACAGAGTTCATGCTCTGTGTGGTCGATTATCTCAACTTTAACCTTTTTTTTTTAAACTTTGTGGTGAGTACCCGCAAATATTTTATAGAAAATAAAATGGCTAAGTATCCATGAGGATACAGACAAAGTGGGAAATAGCTACTTAAAAAGAACTGAGTTCTGCCATGGTTAAAATACTGCACAAGCACATCATAGTTAGGAGTTACTATGTGATTCAGGATTGCAGGTGTTCTGTCTGGCTGCGTGGCTCAGCCATTTTATATGTGCTCTAAAGGTCGTAGGTTTGTTTCATGCACTGCGTCGTTCAGTTCCCGAGTGACTTTTTTAAGGTGTCACTGGAGATGTGGAATTGGTGTGGTGCCTTGTACGACAACGCATAGTGGTTCTGCCGAGAGAAACTAGGCCATGTGAGACAAAAGCTGGAGCAATGAAGAAATGCGGCTGCAAGGCAAGAGACCGACCAAGAAATATGTGCGTCCGGAGGGTGGGGGTACACTAGAGACACTACAGAAAGTTAGAAAGACAAACGCAATTTGACATTACACAAGACGCAATTAGCAAAACTCAGGCAAACGATATCTAAATCTAACTACTCGCTGCGACGCACTACGGCATAAGCAGTATATAACAACAGAAGAAGAAAAGAAGAAGCCATGAAGTCGATCCTCTCGTCTTTATATTTAAACTTTATCTGAGTTTTAAAAAAAGATTAAAGTTTAATTTTTAATTTTAACGTTTTATTAAAGTGGCGCAGGGATGGACTTTGCCCGGCTTGCATTCTTCATTACCAAAGCGAATATAATTATATTAGAGGAACAAACTAAGCTTCGCGAATGCAGTTGTGCACCTAACCTACCTTGTGAAACAACAGATACAAAATATTGAATTTCTTCAGGATCAGAAGGATCCCCAGTGAAGTGACGGTTAGACCGACTGGCAAGGCGTACTGTGTAAAAAATGTTTGTATTTGCGTTCCTGCGCGTTCAAAGGTCGCCATTTTGAGATCTTTGTGTCATGTGACTACAGGCAGCAGACTACTTATTTTTTACCGTGGCAACTATGGAGGAGGAAGAAATGGGGGGGGGGGGTGTTGTAGTCTCTTTTAAGATCCCCTAGGGGTCGTCGCTGAAGTTACTTCTTCTTTGATCCTTCTGTCAGAAAACTTATATCAGGAGGCCGGTAGCCTTTATGAAAGCTATCGTGCAATCCATATCCTCTCGTGTACCATACAGTTTTGTCTTCAGTGTGGTTGGAACAGGCCAGATTGCGTCTCTGTTGTCAGCATACATTTGACAGTGTTGGAGCACATGCTCAGCATTTTCGGGTGCCACGCTGCAGGGACACGTCTCCGTATTTCCTACACCAAAAAATTTGAACATATGTTGACGAAATCTGTTGTGCCCTGTCCTTAGTCTGAATATAATACACTGTCCCTCTCTAGAGAGGCGATGAAGTGAGTCTTGGGGAGAAAATCTGGTGTGGGTATCCAGCCACCTTTCTTGGATACTAGCTTGTATTAGTGTTTTCATCTCTTGGTGAGTTAAGTCGCTATTTGGTTGTACCATGTCACTGCCGCTTCTGGCCAATCTGTCCGCTATTTCATTGCCTTCCAAGCCACAGTGACCTGGAATCCACTGCAGTACAGATTGTTCTACTGAAGAGCCTAAGCAAATCAGCTGTTGCGTCAAGTCTACAAACTTAGTGTCTTTTGGGTCGACAATTGCTTGTAGAACTGACATAGCATCAGTCAGAAAGACCACTCTGCTATTTTTGCTGTGCTGTTGTCCATTCAGGAAAGAACATGCCGCTAGAAGTGCTTCTGCCTCTGCTCTATAATTGGAGGAATATGAACCTGTTGGTACAGCCTGGTTGATTTTTAACCCATTTGGGCATTCTATGTATATTCCTCCTCCTCCGTCTCTTACTGCTCTCTTGGCTGAGCCATCTATATACACTCGAATCCAACTCTGGTGTGGATAAAGTCTATTGATCTCTCCTTCTGTAGTTGATTTCATATCAGTGCTGCTCATTGATGATTTGGAGGAGAACATTGTTACAGTGGTTCTGACTGTTGGTAGGCTATCCCTAAGCCAAGTGGGGCAGTCGTTGTAAGGTTTAAGTGGAACATTTGGTATTATGGGAGGGAGTTTAAGGACAGCGAGCTTGGCATTTGCGTTCTTGATAAATCAGGTTCTCTTTAGTCTAGCCTTCTGGGGTTTCTGCAGTCGGCTGTACATGGGTTGTTCTTGAAAGTGGTTGTATTTGGAGAGCGGGTGAGGAGCTTTGTGTCTCTCCTATCTTCCAGATTATGGAGACCAGTAATTGTTTCCATATCTGATATTGGCGTTCTTTATTTGTGCAATAGTTCTAGTAGGCTAGCACCTGTTCTGTGGATAGACTGAGCCATATGGTCTATTGTGAAATAAATGTGGGGGCACTCTACCGAATCGGTCCCTTTCTCTTCCAAATGGAGCATGCGCTCCCAACCAACTTACAGCTGGTTGACATTTTGCGACTGAAGCCATAATACGAATAAGCAATAATTTGGGACCGGTATTGGGAAGAGTGCCCAAATTATATCCTCATGTTGTTAACACCTTTTTTTTTTAAAGGTGCACTTCACTCTACAACGCGTGTCATTAGAGACGCCAGCATAATATTGAAAGCTATAGTGAAGAACAGCAGCCAGAAATAACTGATATATCGTGACTCAAAGAGTCACTGCCCAGAAGCGAAAAACAGGAGCAAATCCCATAAATCTGGTTCAACCTTATAAAATTGCCACACTGTCACCCGACAGGCACAGAGTAATCTGCTGTCCACTGTGAGTGAATCGTTGAGACTTGCACCATATAGTTCAGATTGACGTGCCGGCTTTCGTGAAAGACCTTCTGCGCCAACACTGAAATAGAATTCTGGCGTTGGACCTTAACACGTATGACAGTGACTTTTGCATTTATACTTTGCGCAAACATGCTTCCAGATGCAAAATACATGGCGTTACAGGCGAACATATACTTTAAAGTGTTAGCGGACAGGGAACACCTTCTTCGCGCGGCCTTTGGGTGGGGGGGGGGGGAGCAAGGGACATTGGCTGAAAAGAGTAGCCCTAGGGTTGCACAGATGGAAGTCATGATCAGAACTGTTTGTTCTACTGACAAGAGGAATTGGTTGCAGTGAAAATTCAACACCGGGAGACATCGTTATGTATACAGATGGGTCTGTGGTAGGAGATTTAAAAAAAAAACAGTGGATGGGATTTTACTGCAAAGATGGATGGACTCTGTGGGGGGGGGGGGGGGGGAGAGCCTCGTGTATAGCATCACAACATCCAGTATGAGAATGGAAGTGCGGATACTAACAGCAGTTTTCAAGTCGCTTGAGAGCAGCACAACCCAACAGGCGGTAACTGTAACGGAATCGACATCACAGCACTAGGGCTAGGGACACCATTATAAGCGCCCCATCTTAAACAGCAAGCGAAGAGTTCCAATTCCGATGGCACTGGTAAGTGTCTGATTTTATATGTCTCGGGTTTTTTTTTAATTATTATCCAGTTTAGTCCTTTTTAGGACGAAATTTTTTGTTATTTGAAGTCCCACCCTGGCTTTTGCCAGGGGCCGCAATATAGGCAGGCCATAAAAATGGCCAATTGCCTGAACGCGGTTACTGGGACCTCTCCACGGCGATCCTCATCCACATGGTGGCACTTTGTGTCATAGGCTGTTTATCGCTTGTGTGATGTCCTACTGGGGTAGAAAGTCAGTCAGTCAGTCCTGCGTGTTAAGCGTCGGCAAGATTCCCTGGTAACTCATCGCAGCGCCATTCTCCCCAGACCGTAATGATCTATCGGTTCCTCCGCACTGTTCAATCGCCCCCAAAGAGCCATTACAACTTTCAGCTTGTCATACATCAGTTCATCACCAAGCGGTGCAGAGCCGGTGAGTCTGTCTGCCTGTTCATTTCCCAAAACACCGGCATTACTGGAGAAAAGATCCAAAGGATGCCAACTACCCGGGACCTCTGAAGTGATGTGGTCTATATAAGACAGACACCGTAATCATACCTCCACTCACCGCCTTCCAGAGATATAATAAGTCAGCGAATCATATCATTTTTGTGCAGTTACCATCATTTCTCCGACCTCTACAAATTTTCCAACAAACTACGCCGAGACAATGACTAGACAAATCTAAAAATCCTGTAGCAATCATGATGAGAAGCCTGAAGTCGCTCTTCCGCAAAGGAACACAGATTGTCGTTGGTCAGGCAAGACTCCACACAGACAAGATGGCTCATCTGATCAACGAATCCAAAGCCAAGGAGATCGTACAGAATGTAGACAACTTTCTCTTTGACTGTGATGGTAAACTTCTGGTTTTGCTTTATAAAAAGGAAATTGTTGTTCAGACTTGATCGGTAATTTTTTATGTTGAAATTTTTATTTAAATTAGTAATTATCTCCACAGAACAGTTCACGAGGTCACGGCGATGGGCGCTTCTTTAAATCGTTCCCTAAAATGGCGGCTTTATTATGATGGCGTTCAAAAGGGAGCTAAATTGGCCAATTTCTGGCCATAGAATATCCAAAAATATCCCAATGCGGGTCAGTTCTATTAAAAATATATGTGCCGGCTCCGGATAACGAAACAAATGGCTCTGACAGGGTCTCGGCGATACGGCGTTACTTGCCGACCTGCGTCTGCGAGTGTGCCTCACCGCCGAGCGTATCCCCCGCGCCGCTACGCGCGGCCCGGATGGGGGGCTAAACTAGATGGCTGGGACTCACGAGCGGCAGCTACCGCATCTCCTGCAACTTCCTCCAATTACTGTACTCGCGAGGGCTCTCCTTGCAGATCCCGACAAGGGTTGGATGCGGGCTGGACAACTTAGTTCAGTTTAGTTGGAGTTCTCTCCCTTGGCCGCACTCGAAACAGTGAGCGGAAAAGTCACGAAACAAATGACATACTTACCTATTGCGTGTAAGGTTGCGTACGGTTGCGTAGTCATCATACGGTTGCGTGTAGGGTTGCATAGTCATCATACGGTTGCCTGAAGGGTTGCGTAGTCCATCATGCTGTTGCGTGTAGGGCTGCGAAGGGTTTGAGTTAGGGGTGTTGGTTAGGGTTAAGGGGTAGGGTTGCGTAGTCCATCATGCTGTTGCGTGTAGGGCTGTGAAGGGTTTGGGTTAGGGGTAAGGTTAGGGTTAGCGTTAGGGGTAGGGTTAAGAGTTAGGGGAAGGGTTAGGTTTAGCGTTAGATGTGACAATTTTGACGACGCAGGAATTCCCAATAATCACGCACTGTCACATACACACCCAAAAAGTCGACGGACTGTGGATGCTACTGACGTGGACACGTCGCCACCGGTTGGGCACCAGCTGCGCGCTATTGTGGTCATATTTGACAGACTTCCAGTGGCGCCACTCCCACAAGCATCAGATTGTCGGCCAGTATTTGGAACTCCTACGTCAAAATTGTCACAACTAACCCTACCCCTAATCCCTAACCCTACCCCTAATCCCTAACCCTAGCCCTAAACCCTAACCCTACGCCTAACCCTAACCCCGAATCCACACCGTACGCAGCCCTACACGCAACCGTATGATGATAGGTATAACACTACACGCAGTGTATGATGACTAGGCACCCTTCGCGCAACCGTATGATGACTACGCAACCCTTCCCGCAACCGTATGATGACTACGCAACCTTACACGCAACCGTATGATGATAGGTAAGTATGTACGCTCGAAATTGTTGTCAACGGTCTGTATTTATCGTCTGCTACTACTACCGTGTGCAAATGTTGATATTGATTGTCAAGCAATCCTAGATTTGCCGCGATTTGTTCCTTGGCAGATAATCCGTATTTTAGATATACGCGAACACCGTCGTTCGGATATTTTTGGATATTTTATGGCCAGAATGTGGCATGCCGCCATTTTGGGGAACCAATCAAAGAAGCACCTGGCGATGAATTATTAATTATTATTAATATTTGAATAAATGAAGAAAATGAAAATTAAATTAAATTTTCAATAATAATAAATAAAGGGATGGTAGTGAAGTTTTACTTTTTGGGTTTTTACTTACGAAATTATAACAGCTAGATGAAAATTAAAATTACAAATCCAATTGTACCTCATTTAAGCCCGTAAGTGTCGATTCTAAGCAGAGATATTAACATTTTAGTGGCGGACACCACGACAGAAAAATTGTAGTGAAAATCGATAACACATGGCTTCCGGATGCTACCCATTGAGATGAAATGACTCAACGTTTGCATTTTACGGCCATAACTTTTTTGTTTCTGAACGAATCCCTTAGCAACCATATATTGCTAGAATCGGGACAGTGAGACCTAACCGTTTATGCATGTCTCAATTACATACACTACGATATGCGCCTATTTAACATAGGAAAATTTCTGCAGGCTGATTATTTTTCATCTAAAACCTTATACATTTACAGTTGTCTGCCAACAAGCCTGGCTTAAAACATATCATATTGTGTGTCCTGGCAAGGCGAACATAAAGATCATATAAATGTGCCAATGTCAGTTGACGTGACCTAATTAACAAATACCGAACACCCCCCCCCCCCTTTTTGCAACAGCGATGTCACCCGGGGTGGTCTATCTCCGCACAGTAATGACACCGTGGGTTGTTGTTCCACCCCCCCCCCCCCCTCCCACAGTGATGATACCGGGGTGGCCGCACCCTCTTCCTGCTACCTTCTTTCCCTGGTATCTCTCCTCTTCTTTCTTTCTTTTTCCTTTCCTTTCTTTTTCCCCATGTCTTAGTGTCGACTTTCTTTTCTTAGTCTCTTTTTTTTATTCCTCTCTCCTCCTCCTGCTCCCTCTCTTTCTCAACTTTCTCTCAATCTTCTACTGCCCCTCCCCCAACTCTCTGTTCTATATGTTAGAAGAAAACATGAGCCCACTGGTAGTACACGGCCTGTTTTCATAATGGGTCGGTGACAGTGTCAACAACAGGGCAAACACAACAGGTGTGTTCATTTCTGGGAATCAGGTCAGGTCGGATTTACTTTTCTTTCAAAAATGACCTTGGCTCCCATGTCCACCCAGCATTGAATGTAAGAAATAGATCTATAGCAGCCACACGCGGACAGCCAAGCATGGGAGGGTTTCCAATGGGATTTTTGTCAAACCTGAAGCTAAGCTTATGTCAAGAGGTGAATCAACCAAACCCTGCACAGTAGACTCGTCATGACGTTGACGCCCCTAGCGGGCAGGTCACATTTCAAATTTAAACCCGTCCGGTGGGTATATAGTCAATTATATTGATATATACCTCCATCTGGTGGAATAGATATTTCTATACCCTCTAGTTGTTTTGAAAAGTCTACATTTTAAAACTTGCAACTGTGGGATAGATATTTTCTGGAATAATATTCCGAATTCCTGGAAACCTTTTTACTCCTTGGTGTACTTATACGGGACTTTTTTTCTAGAGACGCAAAGCGAGATCAGGCCGGGTCATTCTTTGCCTGACTTCCTAGGTGTGCAGAAGTATGTCACCTCTCTGATTAAATCTTGGCGCATTAAAAATACCAGTTTAATCTTTGAAGGATTCCTAAGATTGGGTAAGTTGATTATAGTTTACGAGTACCATGATATATGTCTCTATAAAGTTAGCCGCTGCTGCAGGGAGGAAAGATTCAGCTGTGTGACCGCACAGAACTAGGCCGTTCTTGGTGTCCAGACACTCAAGCCCCTGAAATCAAACCTTTCCCTTCGCAGGCTAATAGTTTGTGCCCTTCCTGACCCACACCATTATAAATATAATAAACCAGCCGACAGAGTTTGTGTCGATTAGCGGACAAATTTAACTGGGTCACACTTCAGCCAGCTAGGCACTGTGACGTCATAGGTTTTTTTTAGCACAACAACACTGGGTGTGCAGTGGGCAGAATGTGGAGGTATAATATATATATATATATATATATATATATATATATATGTGAGAGAGAGATGGGATGTATATCTACAAGTGCAGAGGTGGGCGAGGAGAGCTGATGTTCTATGTTTGATAGAGTCTATCTGTCTCCACTCTGCTACTCGTCTCTTGTCCCTGTTACTGACTGAACAACAGAGATGATATTTAGAGACTTATACTGTCTCATTATCCTGAAAACTCTCCTCTGAATGATTACTAATGTGGATGTTAATAAACTGAGCTTGACATGTAACCCCTGAGATGACTGCTAATTCTGAGTTCCTTCTTGATACAGGATGGTATCTCCTTGGAGGCCAGGCAGTGAATCAGCAGTCCACAAAACCACCTACAAGCAAGTCACCAATGTCCAAGCCAGTGGTGGGCATCCAATTGTAAACCAAACTTTTGTCATCCATTAGGGAAATCCTCCAGTTGGTCTATGGACAACATAATGGATGTTGTACGTTCACCATCATTTATCCGGAAGCTTGTTTGTGCCTCAAGTGATTGACTTGATACCCTAGATCCTTTCCAGGAGCTTGGGTGTATCTCGAGTGTCTAGTGTGGGACTGTCTTCAACGTAACAACACAGTGACTGAACATTCAGCAAGTTCAAGAAACCAGGGATTCAGATAAGTGTGGTCAAATGGTTTATTGCCGGGCTTCACTGTTAATCGTCCACATGATCATGATGATGATCTAGGCGGACCTTGGGAATCTCTTACATGTTCAGTCAGATCTGTTTTGAAGTTTTTGTCCTTCCTATCACTCTGGGTTCTTGAAGTTCTTTGCTGATTCTTATATAATGTATGAAAATGGCGGACAGCAGCTGTGTTTATTGTCGCTGGCTGTCAATTCTCTCGGATTATTTTGTTCTATAATCATGGACTGCTATTTTATGCGCATTTCCAACGCAGGATATTATGTGTTTTTCGTTGGAACAGCGTGTATTGTGGTTGTGCTGTGTCGGGGCGGGATAATGACTGATAGTTTTGGCAGCCTCGGCCACGCTGCCTTCGCAATGTTTTGATCGCGGCGGCCCACTCGGGAAGACAGAATCTCGTCAGCAGGGGACTGCAACTGTCTAGAGAGCAAACTCGATAAAAGCTGTCCCCAGAAACGGAATGTGTCAACCATATATTTGGTGGGGAGGAATCGACACATACGGTTAACTCAATGGCCATGGCCGGCCATATAATGTATGTGTTGCATTTATTACATGTTCAGAAAGTTTCATTATTGACTTAAGTGTCCATCATTCACTGTTCAAACTGTCTAGCTTTTATGTTTGTGTGATTAGTAAGTTTAATCTGTGTTAACATGGCTGTGATAGTATACTATCATAGCCTGGAGGCTTTTTTTGTTATAATAGTGGGGGTGTCCAGTCAAGTTGCGCCTAGGATTAT